CTCTCTCTCTCTCTCTCTCTCTCTCGAGGAAGACACGTTCGTGTTTCGCGTTTCCGGGAAAGAATCGGTGTTTTTGAAAATCCAAATCTCGGCGAATTCTACACGGTTAAATTTCAACGTACGAAATATTCTCACGCGGTCAACAATCAATAAAAAGAAACTCCCTCATTGGCTCTGCTTTTCATTGTGTTTTTCTTCGCTTCTCTTTTTCCTTTTCTTTCTTTTCGAGTTGGGAAACATCTGGGTCGAACAGAAGGGACCCAGTTGCCTTGGTTCGCAGATAGATCCCAACTGCTATCCCGTTGCATCTTCCGTAGGCCCTGTACAGACAGAATTTCCAGTCTAGGTTAATTCCTAAATAAAAGGGGAAGCAAGAAAGCAAAAGAAAGGGGAAACACTTTGGAAGCAAATTTCGACCTGGCGACGCTGATGGTCGATCGCTGTACCACCGCCAGCGGTAGTACAGTAGCGACAACCGAGGTCCGATTTGCCCAGCGTTCACACGGAGATCTCTTGGATTTGAACGCGTTTCTTGGTGCTGCCAGGCGTGCCGGGTTGCCTGAGGATCCCCGGGCAGGACAGGGTGACGTTGGGGGCCGGAACCTTGGGCGGCGGTGGTGGTTCCGGAAGGTTCTCGTCGTCGTTGTCATCGCCGCCGCCGCCGCCGCCGTCATCGTCTTCGTCGTCATCGTCGTCGTCGTCGTCGTCGTCGTCGTCGTCCATCCTGGCGGTAGTGGCGTCCACGCAGGGTGACGGAGTGCGCGTCCTCTGGACGCAGGGGCTTCTGCTGTAGAGCGGTGGCTCGAGCACACGCTTGCCACCACCCGGCGGCGGTGAACACTGAAACTCTTGCAACTGTAGCTCCAGTTCCTGCGCCAGTTTCGTCTTGTGGGTGGGCGGGCTCGAGGACGGCGAGTCCATCAGGTTCAACGAGGACAGCCTTTGCTTGCCGCTGGAGGACCTCTCGATGCCGGAGCATCCAGCCTCGAGCAGCTCTTCCTTCTTCTTGTCGCCAAAGGCGGAGGACAGGCCGCCGGTGACGTTCGAGGTGTTCCGGTCCCTCTGGTGGTAAATGCCGGCGAATATGAGGATGTTGAGCAGCAGTAGGAACACACCGACGGCTATGGTGACGGTGAGGGCGGTGGTGTAGCTTTGGTAGTGACTGGATGCTAGTTTCCTCAAGAGGTTGTTAGGCCCCGGGCCGAGGTTCGAGTGTTGCAACGGCCTGGACGAGGTGGTTGCCACGGTGGTGGCCACGGTAGCGTTCGGCGTGCACTCGGTAGTCGATATCGAGGCGCTCGAGATGGAGGATGGCTGTGTGGGCGAGGGCACCGGAAGCGGGGGCGCCGGTAACGGGAGCGCCATGGTCTGCGGCCGCACTGCACCCTCGTACAGGCTGGGGCTGTCGGCCAGGTGATGGTGGCGCATGCTGATCTCGTAGCCTGGTCGGTGTAGCTGCGGCAACAGATTCAGCCACAGCGACATCTTGTGGCCTCTGTAATGCGACCGCATTTCCGTGCTACGGCCGGCTTCCAGGTACAGCTGATTTATCGAGTCGTACGAATCCCAAAACGGCGGGCTGCTCGGAAGTCCGTCGGATCCCGATGTCAGCGGGCTGACACCGTTCGGGTCCCTGAAACACATCCCGTACCC